AATATTCAATGTGACGATATGTAGAGGGGAGGGTGGTAACTGTTGCCATGCTAAACGTTTTGTTTGCGATGAGGTGAGCATAATAGTATATTATTTTTTTTTTTTTCTTTATTAATGGCAAAAAAGTTATTAAATTAGATGTATTCGTACATTATAAATGAGAACCAAAGGACTGTTGTCTTTCGTAATAATATGTTATTATTCAATTCGTATATGTATTTAATAACAATAAAAGAGTCACTTGGAAGGTACCTTATGTATACGGTTTGACGTACTCGTATTGAGAATAATATCGATGTACTTATAGAAAATAATAAATCTAAAAAACATGACACAAATTTCTGTACATCAAGACGTGGTCTATAAACGATAACGTATTTTGATTGAAATAAAAGATTTAAAGTTATAAAAAAATCTTAACCATCCACCACATCGTACTTTTCCTATTAAAGCTGATACGGCAACCTGAAAAGAACGAACGGCAGTAACGGAACAATCGGAAAATGTAATGGTTTTCTCTAGACCGGCATTCCCTGTCACGACAGAGCACTCGATTTCATTGGTCAATATTTTCATTAAATATAACAATACGAAAATACGGCCTTATATTTTCTTTCAATTATAGTTTCTAACAATGTAAACCTAGTTATAATAAACAAAAAACCTATATAATATCATAATGTATATTATAATAACAATACAACTACACAATTAAACATTTAATGAATAATAAATTTACGTTTATAAAATTAAGTAAATAAAACATTATATTATAAACGTCGCTAAAAACGCATAATATTGTATTATATCATAAAACAGTAAGGAATAAATTACAAATAGTGTATGGCCACGAGTTTCACAAGTCTATTTTCTGTTTTAAAACGCGTAAATGTTAAGTATAATATATTTTAACTTGCTTTGTACTAAAACAAAGCTACCTACGCCGAAAGCCCGTAATTAAATACTATATATACTTAAAGGGAAAGATGGTTTTAACTAGTGCCTACTTTTTTTCATTATTAATGTTATCAATGCGGACCAGCAGTACAACGCTGCAGACGGATATAATATTTTTTGCAACATCAGCGATTCTATACAGTCTACACGACAATAATAATAAGTCGTAGTATGTCTCGTATTTTTTTTTTCTTTAAAAAAGTAAAGTTTTCGAGAACAGAGCTCAGAACGTCCGGGCTGAGTCCCAGAATTGATGCTCTATAAATGGGAGGGCTGCACGTGTCACAACGATAGTGTGCACACATATTATTATTAAAGTGTATAATAGCGGTTGAAAAGGGATAATATACGATCCTTGCAAGATATATAAAAAAATGAAAATGCTAATATTTTTTTTACCATTCAATCGAAGTAGTACATTTTTAAAACGCGAAGACTATTTATTGTCAACTGTAAAAATGTAACAAGAATCGAAAAAATAAAAGTCATTGCTGAACCAAATGTATATGATTATTATTATTATTATTATTATTATTATTATTACTATTATTATTATTGTTATTATACGTGTACGAGCTACCACAAAAGTCTAGGATGGGAAAGTGACAATCATCTGCCTTACAACTTATTATTGTAATTTTATTATATGGTATCAGTTGGATGTTTTTCAAGCCTACATTCCGTGGATAGTCTGTAATATATCTCGTTTCAGATTTTTATACATAGAAAAAGTGTGTGTATGCGTGTGTGTGTGTGTATGTGTGTGTGCGTTTATTTAGGGAGGTACATTAACTCGAACGGGGACGGTAGACAGGTGTATTGTGTGTGTGTATATAATACAAGTGAATAGTTATAATAGTTTGTGGAGGAGACGCGATTCGAAATACGTCGGAAAGTTTGCAGGTGAGCAGACGCCACAACGATGACGACGATGACGACGTACGTTACCAGCAGTGTTTTAATTTATAATATTTCAGAATCCCCGGGGGAGGGATGTGGACTAGGAGGATCTGAGGAGACCAGGCATACCACTCTACCCCCTGGTGAAGTGATTAATTATCGCGTCTACCGAGGGCGGCGATGATGGAAGTTGAATAATGTATCGCTAGCGAGGAATCCGACGCGAGTAAATATAATACGAGCGCATACACATGATCAACGTAAGCTTCCCCAATGGACCTGACACGGGGTGAGGGGGTTAAAGTGGTAGAAACCTTAGTTGGTCGCTTATTACATAGGTATTTGTGTGCTATATGTGAGGTAGGGGAAAGCACGTATTGCTGCAGCGTTTGGAGGGATTTGGATGGGCTGGGTTTTCGAGGAGGTGATATTATATAAGAATTATTGTGCGTGATGTTTCAAATTTTGACACTAGTGAAAGAAGACGATTTCCAGCTCGGGGAGTTAGGTTGACCCGATCCGACCGTTACATATACTACCGAAACCGGTAGACCATCAAACCGGTCGGTATACTTAATATTATACACTTGCAGCATCGAGCAGCAGCAGATGATATTATTATGTCCGACGGTTAACAGTTTTTATTTCGCTTACAAGATAAAAAAAAAATCGTGTGCATAGATGATTATTTTATTTTACTAACTAGGGGAGTTGTATACAATATTATACCTTCGTCCTAAACATACTGCTAATGTACGTTTTAACAGTATGTTTAGGATACCTATACTATTATTGTCGACAAGTGATGTTGCGCTCGAATGTTAATACAATTTCACAATATTATTAAAACTCAACACTCCGTCTAAACGATACTAATAATGCAATATCGTGTATTTAATGCGATTCGGACAAGACAAGCAAAGCAAAAAAAAAAAAAACCGTAAAAACCGTAAAACCCAATAAAAACAAATGTGTAAAAAAGTGTCATCTGTCGGGGTAAACAAGTTCACATGGCGTTCACCGCAGTTTTCCCTCGGTGCGTGTTGTGTTAAGTTTTAACCTTATACACCTATGTAACCTAACGATAAAACTAAAAAAAACCCGTCGAACCACTTCATACATATAGTGTAAACGATAAACACGCGACGATTAAACAATATAATATTATAATATATATTACCTATTACATATTTTAATACATTAAAAACACAAAATAATCACACACAATATTATAATACAATAGTATAAGGCGTGCGGGAAATGTGCCTGGGGAGAGTGCGAATCGTGCGGGGTGACTGTAATATATATATAGAGAGCGTACACACACACATATAATAATAATAACAATGATAACAACAACAACAACAACAACAATTATTTCAGCAGGCCATTTGCGGGCTTTTTTTATGAGATACCTAACCCCGTCGGCGGTCACACGGCAGCATTTACACAGTGTAGGTCACAATATTATACATATAGGCTTTTTGTGTGCGAATGTGTGTGGTTGTGTGTGTGTGTGTGTGTTTGTCATTCAAGTTTCGGTATACACGATATAAGACGATAAGATATCGTGTTTTAAAAATAACAGTAGTAACATAATAGACTTATAAAAAGACGGACTGCGCTTAGATAGAGAGAGAGAGAGAGAGACAGAGAGAGACAGACAGACAGACAGACAGACAGACAGACAGACAGACAGACAGACAGACAGACAGAGAGATACAGAGACAGAGACAGATATCGTGTCATGATCGAAAAAAAGTGATAATATTATATTAATAAAGCGTACTTATATAGGAAATTCAAGCGAATAAGTGCAGCTCGGGAGAACTATACGGGACGTACTGATTTATGCAACGAAATAATTTAGCGTCGCGACTCTTTATTCTGTCTCGTCGATAAATAATATCAACCGTCCGGTTCCTCTCGGCACTCGGCAATCGATAACAATTGATTTTCTTTCCAAATCGTAAGGATTTCCGAATGCCAAGACGAATCGCCGGACGCCCGGCGTTAAACGTACAGCTGATTCTAATTCATTGGCGGACGGGGGCGGGGCGAGGAAAGCGCAGACCGTCTCTGTACACGTCCACACGTCGAGTACGGTGTCATATACAGTATGATATTATACAAGTCGTGTGTTGGTATGATATTATTATGAAGTATAAGAGAGAAATGTAAAAAACAAAAATAAAAAATAAAAAACAAAAATCATAAAAAATAAAAATAAATTGTATATCGTTACAAACCCTTACGCAAATCGGACTATATACCTACAGGATTGTAATTAATGGGCGCACGTGAGACGGCGATCGCGGGGAACGCGGACGGTTGCGGTGACGCTGCTTGCACGTAATCGGCCGGGTTCGAGCTGTACATGTCCATGGTGGACGGGGCGCCGGGGCCGGGCGACGTGGCCGGCGGGAACGCGGCGGCCCGCGGGTTGCCGGGGCCGCCGGTGTGCGGCGACGCTGGTGGCCCGAAACCTTGTGCGGCGACCGCGGCTGCCTGATGGTGGTAATTGCTCATCACTTGAAAAATACACACGCACGGTCATTTGATAAACATAATACAACAATTTAGTTAGTATAGGTATAAGTTTAGTGTTTACATTATACTATACGATGATGGTAATAATATAATAATAAGTAGTATAATAATAATAATAATAATAATAAAAACGGCAACGATGATATTATTATGAAAATAATATCTCAGATAATGACACATAATATTGTAACTACTACACTATACAATACGACATCGTAATAATAATATATTTTTTATACCCACGTCATGTTTTATAAAAGGAACAAATCGTGTTATTAAAACACGCGATTCAATCGGAAAGCCGCACGTGCTATATTACAACGATGAACTACCGGGTATCGTTGTGAGTTGTGCGAAGAGACCGGGCGAAACGCCGAACACTATATTTTATTTATTTATTAATTGTTTTTTTTTTTTTTTTTGCGCACAGTTCAAGCACCATGTTAATTATAACGATCGCCCCGCAGCGGTTACGTATAGTATCAATATAAATTACAATATTTAGGCCGATTTTCCGATCAAACCACGTGGCATACCTACTGTACAATATAATGATATATTATACATACGATCCATATACTGCAGCAGTGTAATATATATAATATAAAATATTTCCGACGTGTACGATTGAAAAATCGTTCAGCACCGGTGTGATTTTTGGTGATGTAGTCGCCCCCTGGTAAAATGAAATTAAAGCAAACACTGACTGGCTGGTCAAATTTCGGTAGGTATCATTAGCTGATAATTACATCGGTATGCTTTTAAGCCGCGGTAAAATGTTACTAGTGACCGAGAGGTAAATTTTCACTAGATGTATTTTACCGAAGGTGGGGGATACAATTTCATTTAGGAAAAAATCACGGTCACATCGGCATGAACATCGAATGCACTCGCAGTATAAATATATTTAATTTAGTGCTACAGATCGACGATTAGACCAGATGGAAAATATTCATTGTGGATTTGGAATTCAACCAGTCAGTAATCCACCCGATATCGATTTTAGCGAAGGAGTTTTCAATTATTATTCTTGAATTTTTAAAACACATACCACAGACAAGGATATACGTTTGTTTAGAAAGTTTTAATTTTGAAAAACCACCAAAGTAACAAAGTAAGATTGAAAGCTTACAATTTTCTTTTTTTTCGAAAAACCGATCGGTTGATTAATTTCAAAATTTGTGTTCTGAATATTATTCTTCGTAATACGTCACGACTTTGGCTAAAATATTGTATATTACGGATATTATGAAATGTTCGCAAACGGTTTATTTCAACGTTCATCAATATTGTACGCATGTAATATTATAATAGTTTACCTGTGCAGTTGCATGTATTATAAAGTATGATTTTTCAATCAAACCACGTACTGAAATATAATACATTATTGTACAGGGCGTTCCATTTAACCACCTGCACACAATGTTGCTGTACAATTTTGTGAATTTGAAAATTATGAGTGCCGTAATAAGCACGTCAAACCGCGACCAAACGTCGAGTAAATTTATTATTTTTATTTATATTATTATGTAAGTAAATATATTTTATACGGTTATGTCGACAATGGTATTGTTACGACAGCCGTCTTGTGTGTGTGTTTGTGTGTGAGTATGTCTGTGCGCGTGTGTGAGTGTGCATGTGTGTGTGTTTGAACAAAATTTGAATACTCATATTATTATTATAACTAATTAACCTATATAATATACTTAATGTTATATATTATACTAAAGTGGACCTTGAAAAATCTGCTGCTCTAAACAAAAACTTATCGTATATGGTACTGGGAAAAATGAATAAAAAAACAAATTAAATTATATTAGTATATAATTATATATATATATGTATATGTATAGGTGTATGTGTGTATTATTATTATTATTACTGTTCGGTTACATAATATCATTGTATATAACATTTACGGAGCACATTCTAGCAAGTGACAATCATATTATAAGAGGTACCTACATACAACATACTAAATAATATATCATGGTACGCGTCTGAATGTCACACACACACAACTACACAAGCACTCATCATCGTGTTGCTGATGGAAAGATGTTTGTATGAAATATAAATATTTAAGAAATAAGGAAAGAAAATAGGTGAAAAACAGCAAACCGCCACTGATAAGCCAAGCAAAAAAATTATATTATATTATAGCGTGATCAAAAAAAAAAGTTAGTTGTTAGTTGAGTTTTTCTATTTTTCTGTAACTTAGGTACTAAAACATTTTCCATACACGTCGTTATAATATCTTCATCGACCGTTGCATAATGTAAAAAAAATGAATAGTGAATTCATCACGTGAAAAAATTACTCTTCTCTTTGATACGACACTGTGGCCGCTGTAAGTTATCGACTAAAAGTAAAAATATCGAGCGAAGGGTATTGTGGCAAAAACAATAGCTCACATTTCGTTTGTTTTATTCGTGAACTGTGCGTCTGACACCACTATACCGCTTTCTACGCGATTACGACATTATAATAATTACAAATTGATGCCAACGTCACGAATTCAAATTTTAATGCGTACCTGTATGGATCGTCTACACCATATAATATGTTATCGTTTGTGATGGAACCAAATATCGGCAAGTACACATTATTATAATAATGTACACCCAATCGAACTTAGACGTACCAAGCGTTGTAGCAGTATTATCCTTATTCTTCACATTATTATTATTATTATTATTATTATTTACAATTTTTTATTGTAATCTAATATTGTACTGACAAGTGACATTTAGTACGTTGTATAACGTGATTTAATAAAATATGATTAATAGTTGATTGAAAAGTGATTGGCGATTTCGCAAGTATGACATAATTATAGTATATTATTGTAATAATATTATGTGCATTATACACGCGATCAATTAAATGGATACATCGCATCGTCGTGGTTTTAATTTTATCTTAGTATTATCATGGGGCGGAGACTGGCTCAAAAACAAATACAATTGTACTTATACTATAAATTAACGAATGAAAAATACATAAAAAAAAGTCTGATAATATTTCATCTAACCACGTGCGTATAGACCATCGACGAAGACTGGTATTAAACAAATCAAATACCGTATTATATTATATGACTTTATCGTCTTTGTGTTGTATGTTTCAAACCGCATGTAATATTACCATTATTATTATCATCATTATTATACCTAAACAGTCATCATAATACTATTTTTATAACAACAAGACCGCGAAAACGACACGTAGAATTTAAGATAATTATGTATATTAAGATATTTTTTTTACCACCAATGCCGCTTGATGATCGATTAAGTAAACTCGCACAAAAGTATAAAATAATAACAATAATAATAATACTGTGGTCTGTAGCCAGTATGTGTGTATTTACATAATTAATTATATATTAAAGGTCTGTCATGTCCTGATATATTTATTTTTAAACGTCCTTCTACTTTGTAAACCTACCTAAAAGGGTAAAGTTTGTTATTATTGTTTGGAGTCAATATTATAATAATATGATCAGTTAGTTTGTCAGAAATCAACTGCAAGTTACAACGACATGCTATACGTTATCATATTTGCGATATTAAAAAGGGAATTGGCTGCTAAAAAAAGGTGTATACTAAACACATAAAAGCATTTTTCATTTCGAGTTTTGTCAACATACATACCACTGAAAATAAGGACGTAACACATACCCACCAAAATACGCACACAAGTGGCTCGGCTTGTTTGGGCCAGGACAATATTTGTTTTCGTCAATTAATATTTTTAAAAATAACTACAGCAGACTAAATTAATGGTAGGTATTATATTTTGTTATTATGACTTTGTGTTACCTACCACCTGCCTCGTAAAGTATTCAAAAACTTTTTTGTTATTCAATACTATTTTAATACTTTTTGAACAAATTATTCGAATACGTATTCTGAATAATTTTTTTTGTATTTTTTTATTCATTAAAAAATATTTTTTTTTAACTCAAAAAATAGTTTATATTTGTAACAATTTTTTTTCATTAAAAATCGGGTACATTTTTAGTTATAAACAATAGTTTTTCTCTTTGAATGAAATATCATTGACCCTCGTTAATTTTTTCAAATATTCGATTATGTATTCCGAATACAAAATAAAAGTATTCTTTATAAGACTGCCCACCACTTATAGTATAAAACAAATTACAATATTTGTTTCATGTAACATCGTTTAAATGTTCCTTAAGTATATAAGATATGAATAAAATATATATGTATATATATATATATAAGGACAGAGTTCATGCAAATGTTATACAAATTTAATTATTAATTACCGTTCGAGTTTCCAACCACCGTTTAATATCGTTTTGTGTTGGTTTTAAACTTTAGGCAGAGGTGGGTAGCGGTAGGAGAAAAAATGTATTTTATTATAATATTTGGTCGAGTAAATGGGGCGGGTTTGTACGTGCACAAACGCGATGAGACATCCTGTATGTATAATATTTGTATATGTGTGACGTGTTTAACAAAATACTTATACTGATAACTGATATTATAATAATAGGTATGTAGGAAATGTTCTTTTGTTTCAATAATATTTATACATGTATGTACGATACGGAAAATTACGAAACACGAGTCTACAATAACAAAACATTCTATTGCAAAAACAAAACAAAAATAAAAGGTATAGTAATAATATTGTAGAAATACACATATTCCTACATAATGTAATAATATACATAGGAAGGTATAATATTATATTGTTCGAATGGATTCCAAATAATATCAATATACAAACACGATAATATTATATACATACTAATATAATAGGAGGTATTTGTATATGATATACACATCTTAACAAATAAAAAAAAAAAAGGAATTAAGTATAAGCAGTATATAATATGTGTACTTATACACACAAATTATAATATTATTGATCAATATTAAGGACAAAAAATAATATATTATTAGTAGTGTAGAAACCCCTGTGATATGTCGGAAACAATAATAAA